CGACTTCCCTCTTAAGAAAGAAAGCTTCTTACATTTATTTAGATTTAGCTTCAGAAGATTGAGGGAGCACCATGAAACCAAATTGTTCAAATCACTTTGAAGATGATGTGATTGCGATTCTACGGAAGAAGAAGTAAACAGTTTCACATCATCAGCATACATTAAAATCTTACTGAATTTAATCACGGAGGGCAAATCATTGATGTAAAGATTAAATAAAATAGGTCCCAAGTGGCTACCTTGAGGTACGCCAGACGTCACGGGAAATTCATCCGAGGTAATGAGGTTAAACAAAACCCTGAATGATCTACCATACAGATAAGAGCTTAACCATTCAACTAAGAAGAGAGGAAAGCCAGAGGTCTGGATTTTAAATCTAAGAAGTCTATGATTAACCATATCAAACGCCTTGCTAAAGTCAGTGTAAATGACATCAGTGCGAGAACCACTAGAAAAAGCCTTGAAAACATGAGAAGTAAACTCTGACAGATTGGTCACCGTAGATCTTCCCTTTCGAAAACCATGCTGGAAAGGAGAAATATACAATTTCATGGAAAAGGCTATATGCTGTGCCACAATTCGCTCGAACAGTTTAGGTAAGACACTCAACTTGGCGATGCCTCTGTAGTTCTCTACAAGTTGCCTACTACCACTTTTGTGAACAGGAATAAGGAAAGAAGTCTTCCAACACAAAGGGAAAACACCTAAATTCAAAGACTTAGTAAAAATCTTTGAGATAACATCACAAAGCCGTCCAGCACAAGATATAAGTACACATGAGGGGATGCCATCGGGTCCAGGCGAACAATTATATTTTAAGGAGCTCAATCCTTCAAAAACGTCATTTTCAGATATAACAAAGTTAGGAATTGAAATCAAATTAGAAATGGGATATGGATAGTTTGCTGATAAATCAAAATTGGCAGTTGAAAAGTTCTGTCGGAAGTATTCCGCAAATAGATTTGAGGATTCAAAATCATCCGAGGACTCGGAGCCATTAAAAGACACAAACGACGGGTTTATGGAGATTTTTCTTTTGGAATTAACGAACTTAAAAAAGTATTTAGGGTTAGCAAACAAGGAGGATTTAACAAACTGAAGGTATCTGCAGTAGTATTGGCGGTTGAGGGAATTAAATTTATGCCTTGCAACAGAGTAAGCGAAATAGTCGAAAGAAGAACCACTTTTCGAAAATTTTTTGAACAACTTGTTTTTCCTATTCTTGTAGTATTTAATTGTCTTATTAAACCACGGGGGATCCTTACTTCGAGGACGGGACTGCTTGATCGGAACGGATGCAGAAATAGCTTGATTTAATACATTGTAGAACGACGACAGTAAGCTATCAATGCTTCCCTCTGAGAAATCGAGCACAAAATGAGAAAGATGAGATTTTAGTATGGAAACATTGATTTTATGGAAATCATAACGTTGATATGAACAATTTGAATTTGGAACGTTATAGAGGTTCAACGAACCAACAGACTTGTAATGAAAGGAAACACCCAATGCTGGATGATATGGATCCTCAGGTAAACTAAACGGAAGACAACGATTAACGCAAACCTCAGGAAAATTTGCAAAGCAGAGATCAAGAAATCTCCCATTACAATTAGGGGTACCATTGTATTGAACTAAATTATTATCAAATAATTCATTGAAGAACACAACGGCTTTATCAGATGTTGAGGAAGGAATCAAACAGCCAGAACTATCGCTGTAAAACCAATTGACTTGAGGCAAGTTGAAGTCACCCAACGCAAGGACTATATCGGTAGATTTAGATTGCTTGGCCACTTCACAAATGAGGGCGGCCTGTTTCTTATATACAGAGATATCCGAATTTGGGGGAATATAGGAGCAGGTCACATATAAGTGTTTGTTAGGAAATTTCACTCGAATGGCGATAAATTCAACATCGGGAGTAGTTGGAAATTCAAACGAATAGGTGGGGAGTGCCGTAGAAATAGCAATTAAAACACCACCACCATTGCGATACAAACGATCGTTTCTGAAAACTTGAAACGAATTATGGAAAAGTTCCGACGAATGTAGAACTGGCTTCAGCCATGTTTCAGTGAAGACCAGACAGGAAAACTCCGTACTCACTGAATTTAGGAAGGTAGAACGAATTTTTGAGTTTAGGCCCCTAACATTTTGATAAATGAGAGAAAATGAGGCTGAAGAAGTATTTAGTTTTTTGAAGGGGAAAGAGCTAATGCATTCGCATTACGGGGTCGGTCCCGAGGGATAAATTCCTTAATTAATGATCCAACCGGCCACAAAGTTTTATTTAAAATCAAATCCATATTTTCGGTCGGAACTAGAATTTTAAAAGATGAGATAGCTCTAGCTTGAGAAGGACCCAGTTTGAAAATACTAACTCGCTTTAAATTGACAGAAGGGGCTTTCGCAGCCACATAACCCCTTATGTTTTCAACAGATGTATCTGGTGCCAGTCTTGACACAAATATGGCCTTTCTAGGAGGAACTGCCTTCAAGCATATGTCATCAGTACTGGAAGCAGCAGGGTTAACGGATGGGGAGTTATGAGTTGGAGAAAATATAGAGGGGGTAACCACACTTGCACGAGCAGCTTGCTCAGTTTGGCGACCAGCATTTACACCCGAACAGCGAGGAGGAGAGGACGATTTACTATTACCCTTATTAGTTTTGGGCAATGACGCCTGAGAAGATTGAGTGACATTTATGGGAGGAGATACCCTTGCCACTTCAGCATAGCTCAACCCAGAAGGACTTCTCGGACTATTTGTAACATCTATGTTACCAACCGACTCAGCCGTAGCAGAAACACTAACATTATTTGTAGCCTTTAGGGAATCGCTAACTTGCACCAACGAAACGGACTTAGGAGGTGACGAACCACACGCTACGCTACGCGTTGAGACTATGTTAGCTGGAGAGGAAGATGACTGCGCAATATACCGACATTCATCAAACCTAGTCTTGATTAATTCAAACTTCTCCCACAAAGAGCCGAGATTTTTGCTCAAATCTGAGAAACAATTTCTCGTCTCCGTGAAGAGCTTGTAGAAATCAATATCCCGCTTTCTACAGTCAGGACATGACCATCGTAAACCTTTAGAAGGGTCAAGGACTGCATCAGCAGCACGGCCGGTAATACCAGCACACTTTGCATGTCCAAAACGATCACACAACCAGCAAGAAATGAATCGTTCAGATTCAGGGCCAGTTTTCGCACGACATGGAGTAAATAAACAATCCATGTCCATTGAAAACAAAAAAAAGTAGCTTAAGAAGGAAAAAAAAAACGAAAAAGAAAAACAAAAAAAAAAAAAATAATAATTTTTCCACGGCACAAATTTTCAGGAAAATTAAAGCAAATTTCTCACTTCCCTGCCCACTGTAAATATAGAGCGAAAACTAACGGAAACTGTAAACACAGATTAAAAGGCAAAAAGAGAGACTTTTACCAAGAGCTCAATTGTTGCTTGCAATAAACCAAAATGATTTTTTCACATAAATGGTTAATAAATTCATATACAATACATTCACACTTTATTCTTTAAGAGAATTTTAAATTTAAACACGAATAAAGCAAAAAGTTAAGAAATACAACTAAAAAAATTGATATATTTGTTGACAGAATAAAAACGCGACTACAAGACACGCGCAGAGTTGCCAAACTGTAATTCTTAGTAATTGTTTAATTGATTCTTGAGAAAATAATGGTTGACGGTATCTATCTTACCAGCACTCACACTTAAACCTTTAAGCATCCTTGAACCGAATTAGTCTGATTTATGCCGCAGCTGCTTACTATTTCAACCTCTGAAAGTTAGGAAGGGCACATATCTCCTGCATTTTCTAATTATATATTTGGCTTTATTCCTAGGCACGCAGTGCGTCGTCTGATTATTATCATCCTAAATATGCCTTGAAGCTAGATCATGGAGACAAAAATGAAATTTCATTTCCATACAATTAAACGACTGACAGCAGCCTTGCATCTAATTTCTGAGATTAGATCCAGGTTATTATTCAATATATTGATCTGATCTTGCACATTCGAAGTATTGTATTAAAGTCACATGCATCACTTCTGACTCTCAGTGCCCAGTATCCACTCTATTAAAATCGTAAAATTCCAAAGATATGTCCGCGTTACGCAAGCAAGTATTAGCAGCCACGTGAATGAAGGCATGGTGGTGACATCTGAAATTTAAACTAATAACAATAATAATAAAAATAATAAAAGATGCGTTCGAAACACTGATGATAGAATTTGAGTTGACTTGCCCTAAAATGAGACCAACAATATCTACATGATACATTGCCCAAAAAGTAAGCAGTTTAGTAACCATAACGGTGCTTGCATAATACCCGATCGTATCACCCACACGATTACTCTGAATGAAATAAGCTAGCGCAGGCTAGGTTTTAAGACACCTATAAGAGATAAGATAGGTAGAAACAATAGAAAGAGCTGGAAACCACCCGGGGAAAAACGGTTATAAGATCGACTGTAAGAAAGCATTTAACTCAATGCTGCGTGGGTACTTGCTAAAAGTCTTGGAAATATGCGAAATTAATCACATAATAATTAAGTTTTTAGAACGCTATGGGTCGATGAAATGTTAAGGCTTGTAAAGAAACAAGTGACCGAATTCCAATTCGATGAGGGATATTTCAGAGCGATGCATTGGGCCTGCTATGATTTCTTGCGAATGAATGGGAAAAGATAGAATAGGTCTGCAGAGTGCATATCAATGGTTATTCAGTGGGGAGCTGATTTTTGAGACGGCAGGACAAAGTAATATCCACAACAGTCGTACTAAATTGGCAGAACAAAGCCATCGACATTATAGAAGTTGTAATCCACTCACACAAAATATATAAACAACATACTTCAATAAGATTGCCAAATATTCGGAGCTGGCACAAGAGATAAAAATTTTCGACAAAAAAAAGTTACGATAACTTGAATCGTGATGTGTTGTATGGGAATAGTACCAAAAATGACTATAAAGTTTCTTAAGTATTTAGACATTTCTAATGAACTGGAGAAGACACAGAAAGCAGTGCCCAATCCCTTGGAGAAACACACCCGGGTGAGTGCTCAGAAATGGCTGAGGAATGTAGAAATTTATAATAATATTAATATTAAAAATAAGAAAGAAAGTTATGATAAAAGTGATGCAAAGAAAGGATATAATTTTCTTTTTCATGCTCGAAAAGACTTACACTTAATAAAACGCAAAAAGCCTAACATTTTGTTAAAAAATTAAACTAAAATATTATTTTGTTATCAATAACAGTAGTAACACTGTTAATTAGCAGCAACTTAACTGCTTGCCCCTTCTTTCTCATTATTGAGATTAAACAGTCTTAAACACTTGTAAACACTTTGAAAAAATAACGAAATTCAACATCGAAAGCATATAAAATCTTATTAAACAGTCTTAAACAGTCTTAAACAATCTTAAACACTTCTAAACACTTTAAAAAAATAACGAAATTCAACATCGAAAGTATATAAAATCTTATTAAATAATCTTAAACAATCTTAAACACTTGTAAACACTTTGAAAAAATAGCGAAATTCAACAGCGAACGCATATAAAATCTTATTAAACAGTCTTAAACAGTCTTAAACAGTCTTAAACACTTCTAAACACTTCGAAAAATGTGCGGAATTCAGAAAGCACACCCCCACAAACCAAAGCAAAAATTTAAAGAATGAAATCTGAAAAAATCGACTTATAAATTAAGACAACAGCGCTTTTTTGACCTCAAAAAATCTAGTCTGACTTTTCATATATAGATTTCAATGCGTATGACTTATAATTTAAACAAAGTCGACCAATAATTTCCCAAAAAGTTGTCCCTTATTTCTACAATAATCAATAAAGCAATAATATCTAAGGGGCCTTTGTTGCATGTATCAAAAAGAAATCGAATAATTTCGAATATTTAAGTTTCCATAGAATGTATTTGTTTTACAAATTAGTTTTATAATAAATATCAAATAATATCAAAACATAAGAAACAATGTATTACAACTCGTTTTTTTAATCATAATCGTCTCGTACGTCTGCCATACATTTAAGTTTCTGTATAATTTTAATAAAAAGTAGGTATAAATAATTCAGTACGTATGAAAAATTAAGTACCTATTAAAAGACTAAGACTTTCAATCCATTTGATATCTTGCATCAACACTTTGCAGCTGTGTCTGAAACACCAAAGTATGCTTTTAACACCTGATGATTGGTTAGAGCTCGGCGATTTCTACAAAATTTTCCGCATTCCGGGCACTGGTATGGTCCACAAGTAGATATTAAAGTTGCATGGTGTATATTACCGATTTTTTTTAATTGCTTTAAGCATATCAAAAGATCACACGCCAGCTAAGCCGCATTTGTTTACACTCCTCAATTTGTTTATTAACAGCAGCACTCGCTTTAGTGGAAGCTGATGTTCGTATACACTTCTTGCTGTTATTTTTGAAAATTTGGGCTAAACATATGCAAATTGTGAAATACGGTAATATGAGCAGCTATTGTCTGATGATATTGGCGATATTCTATTTGCAACAGCCTCTAGAGAATTACAACAATTTGGCAATTTTATTGCCAATAAAGAAGTTGCAAGCAAATTGCAACGAGCATTTCGGGCAAAGTGTGAATTATGCTTTTGATGTACAAAGTAATGAAAACAAACCTTGCCTGGCCCCCTCCATAACTACTGAACTAACTGAATTAATGAAAGGTTTTTTTGGTTTTTATAAAAGTTGTGACTTATCTTCTGTACTGTCATCTTATTTGGGCAGCGCAATTCCCCGTAACGATTACGCCAATGACAGCATTAACTTCTTCGAATATCACAACCAGTTGCTTACTATGAGTCAATATTTTGATAAAGATCCTGAATGGCTTCGAATTGATACCTGTCTATGCGTTCACGATCCATTCTGTCTTCATCAGAATGAGGCAAACTCTTTAAACGGGACTAAGACAGAATATTTTGAATATTGCCTGGCTAATGTTTTTAGTATTTTTAGTATTTGTCAGAACAACGATAACATGGTAGAATTGTATGAGAAACTCATCTTCGATTTACACGATCCGTTCGAAATCTTACCAATGAAAGTAAACGAAACAAAGCATGTTGAGCCAACGGAAAACTTGAATGGCACATCGGAAAAACCACCAGTTTGATAATGAGAAGCAACAGCATGTTAGCTTTGTATTCACCCCCAGCCGCAACGATATTAAAGCTATATTGCGTATAAAGACTATTCACAGAGTTTGGGCGATAATCTGCAAATTTTTAAATATTGATCTATATAAAAGCAGTTGAAATTATACTTTCGCAGTTGTATCGTCTGGAACTAGACGAAAATTCAACGCAGCAAGAAGAAAACCGATCACTTTCGAAGGACACTAGCAAATGCGAAGACATAAAATCATGGTTTATTTCGGGTTCGACTGACTTATGGACTAGCCGTTATCATCAGGAAACACACGATCGAACATTCATGGAATATCGTATGGATCAAACCGAACGTTTATACAAACCCAATGCTCAAAATCCATTATATTCTCTGCACTAACTCTTACGGTAGCAATGAAACATCGAAGCATTGAATTAAGGCTGCATTTACCGAACGATTCATCAGAAATTATTTTAAACAAAAAACATCCGCTCAAACGTTTCTTTAATATGTTGAAATGCACCATTGCAAACTTTAGCCTTAAAGAAGCTTTGTAATCGTCATTAATTTCCTAACTAAACTGTTTATTTTATTGAAGGAAAAAACACATTGGCTCTTCATTTTCTACCGCCAAAAATAGCATCTCAAAAATGCTCAGAACCATATATATGTCATCAAATGTCTAAAATTTGAAAATACCTATTTATGTTTCGTCGTTTTACTTTTAACATTATCTTTCTTTTTTTTTTTGGGATGTTGAGTTAGCAATTATCTTATGTATTAATCAAAATTGAACGAAATTAATTTTACATCTACAATTCTACATCATGTATGGTATATAATATTATTAGGAATATCGTTATATAATTATGTTTATTTTGAACAGAATAAACCAAGTGTATGCGCAGAAATATGTAAGCAAATTATTTTAGCTGTAAGAAAATTCGATCGGTTGTTTTGATCTTTGTTTCTCTTCCTCTGTCTTCGCCTGGGTTCGTGGAAAGTTCAAAGCGGTTATCAATATCAATTTGTTAAACTATAATTGCAAAAACGCCCACGACTTCTAGTTCAAATCTGTAACAATTGAAATCAATTGCTTCTGCACGCTGTCCATTCGTTCTCATAGTCCTTCTTGAAACGTTTATCAGTCTTTTCCTACTTGAACAAATCAGAAAAAAAAAAAAACGAAAGTATTAGTTGACAGAAAATCTTGTTTGACACATTGTAACGAGTCTTCTTATCCGGGGTAGAACTCAGTCAATCCGGGGTTCGTTGCAAGAATATTTATTTAGCACGAAATGTTCTGAACCTTCGGTAGGATGGTGTAAAATTTCCTTTATTGTATATTAAGCGGGATACAGCGATGTGTAGAAGCTGGCTATAGCAAGGAACCAGCGAGGTGACCCGACTTGTGGTGTGACTTCCACGTGGTACGAGATTTATTTATATTTATTATTACTTTGTTTTCTTTTAACGATCGCGGAACACTACAAGAAAAGTGGAAACGTTACCAGTGTCATAGCTGCCTGGGCCGCCAGTTCGTCTCTGGATGGTCCTTCGTATGTAAAAATAAAAGGATGTTCCCCCCCTCAGTCCTTCAGGGATGGCGATTAAGCTGAACCAGCACATCCCCTATCCGTCAGTCGGTAGTCCTAAAGGTCCTTTTAGGGATGGCGATTAAGCTGAACCAGCACATCCCCTATCCGTCAGTCGGTAGTCCTAAAAGTCCTCCAGGGATTGCGATTGAGCTGAACCAGCACATCCCCTATCCGTCAATCGGTAGTCCTAAAGGTCCTTCAGGGATGGCGATTAAGCTGAACCAGCACATCCCCTATCCGTAAGTCAAAAAAACTTTTTATAAAGGTCAACTCGTCAATTTGTCCGTGGGCACTTACCTTAGACGGCTGTGACACCAAACTGAACGATTCTGTGTGACGCGCTGTTCTTTTATAGCCTGATCACCGTTAGGTACGTGAGTGCTTGTGCTTTCCTATGCCTTTGTGTTTGCATATGCTTTGCTTTGTGTGTTTCTACATGCTTAGCATGTGTGATCGTGTCTTTGTACATTTTATGTATGCAGTTTATGCATTGTCGTATGTTCTTATTTTTTCTACCTAAATACTTACTCCTGTAAGTTTGGTATACCCTACACATTCTGCGCATTTTACAACATAGAGATTCTTGCTGAAGTTTGTTGGTTTTGCATGTATAGATTTTCTACCTAAGGTCAGTTCTGCATGCTTTGTTTGCCCTAACGGTGCTATCAGCTTTGTCCATTATTTGAAGATTCAATGTGACCTAACGGCGCTATACCTTTGTGCAATGCTGCTGTAGCTTCTGTGTATGTTTGAGCTCATGTGAGTGTACGTGTATCCTACTGCATTCATACCGATTGGATTTTACTTAATTGTATAAGTCGGGTTGTGTTCTTATATTTATGTTTTAATACAGATAGGGTTCTTAGACCTATGCTTTCTACATTTGAGTTCTCAACTCTTGTTTTTGTACATTGTGGGTTTTTTTCCTTATACTTTTGGATATTTTGCGTTTTTTTTACTTATAGTTTTATGCATTTGAGTTTTTCCACTTCGCCTTTTATACATTTAAGTTCTTAACTCTGCTTTTAACACTTTGAGTTTTTGCTTGCGTTTATACTTTTGAGTTTTTACTTAGTCTTTCATACATTTGAGTTCTTAATTCTGTTATTAAACATTTTGAGTGCTTACTTGTGTTTATACTTTTAAGTTTTTTTACTTAGCCTTTCCTACATTTGAGTTCTTAATCCTGCTATTAAACATTTTGCGATTTTGAATCTAAGCTTTTATACATTTGGGTTCTTCGCTTATGCTTGTATACATATTGATTTCTTGAATCTAAGTTTTTTTTTTTTTTACATTTGAGTTCTTGACTTATGCTGGAGGAGGTTGTTCGTGCTTTATTACCCCAGACAGACGTTTACGGACAGCTCAGACTGACAGGTGGTTTACTGTGGGTAGCTATTTCAGGCGGACGGACTTGGATTCCGTAAGAAAGCAAAATCGCTTCCTTACAACATATAGAATGTCTCTTGTTCACTCATTATTTTGCGTTGAAATTTAAAATTGCTATCAGGCTGGACGTGTATACGTATACGAGACGTATTTCGTTGCCTTAGTTCATTCGTTTTCTATATCTCAAAAAATAAAAAAAATTATTAAATTATCTTTACGAACATTTGTTTTTATTAATATCGCAAAGGAATTCATCCAGACTTAAAGAATTGAATTGATCAGTAAATTGATAACTTCTTTGCCTGTTTCATGTCTGCCCGCCTGTATCCTCATCTGAGTATGCACGTTAAAGGTTTTTCGTGCGATATTTGACTGATTGGCAGCGATGGACTAATCATCAACTTGCCATCTCTGCGGTAGTCAATTCTGTACCATTTGAATCGCATCCACTTAGAGAATATATTAGTTTGGGGAAAAAGAAATCCATTATATTTTCGGTAGATGGCTGCACTGATAGATTTCTCGTAAAACATCGATCAAACAATTTCCGATACTGTACATTTACATACTGTACATTTCGCAGTAAAAAAAATTCTTTTGCTGTTTTTTGTTTGGTGCATTCAGTTGTGAGTTACAGCGTGTTAAAAATGGAAGCGAACAAAGAGAAAATTCGGTACATTTTACAGTTTTTCTTTGACAAAGGCGAAAATGCAAGCCAGGCGGCTAAAATTGTGAATGGTGTTTATGGTTCCGATACTGTAACAGCCAGTTATATGCAATTTTGGTTTCGTAGATTCCGTTCAGGAATTTTTGATGTTAAAGATGCATCTCGCACAGGTAGGCCGGTCGTCGAAAATGTCGATAAAATCGGAGAAATGATCGAAGTTGACCGGCATGTTAGCAGTCGTAACATCGCCCAGGAGCTAAAAATCGACCATAAAACAGTTTTAAACCATTTACACAAAGCTGGATTCAAAAAGAAGATCGATGTTTGGGTGCCACACCAATTAACAGAAGAAAACATGATGGATCGAATTTACATCTGCGAAGCCTTGGCCAAACGGAATGAGATAGACCCATTTCTTAAACGAATGGTGACTGGAGATGAGAAATGGATCACATACGATAACCCTGTGCGAAAACGATCGTGGTCAAAGAGCGGTGAAGCATCTCAAACGGCCAGGAAGGTTTTGCTATGCATTTGGTGGGACTGGAAGGGGATTATTTATTATGAGTTGCTGCCATATGGCCAAACGCTAAATTCTGATTTCTACTGTCAACAACTGGACCGTTTGAAGATAGCGATTGACCAGAAACGGCCAGAATTGGCCAACAGGAGAGGTGTCGTGTTCCACCAGGACAACGCTAGGCCACACACATCTACAATGACTCGCCAGAAACTTCGGGAGCTTGGTTGGGAAGTTTTAATGCATCCGCCATACAGTCCGGACTTGGCACCAAGCGATTATCATCTTTTTCTTGCATTGCAAAATTTCTTTAATGATAAAAAATTGGAATCTAGGGAGGATTGTGAAAATCGACTACTTTTAGAGTTTTTTGCAAATAGAGACCAGGACTTCTATGAGAGAGGCATTTTGAAGTTACCTTTAAAATGGCAACAAATCATACAACAAAACGGTGCATATTTGACCCAAATCGGACAATCCGAAGCATGTTAAATAAAGTCCTGAGATTCATATAAAAATAATGGATTTCTTTTTCCCCAAACTAAACGCCATTCAAGGAAATTGCAGAGTTATCATACTTGGATTGCGCCATATTTGAAAGAGTAACGAGTTGGTTTTAGGAGACATCATAAACTTCGAAGTTTTTACATGCAATTTTCTTTTCTTGCATTGGAGCATAGTTACAACCTGCTCTGTTGTAAAAAGAGATGTATTCATTATAAGAAATAAGTTTGTAACCACCGGCGAGAAGTAAAAACACCTTTTCATTCACACTTTTTGTTTCTGCTGAAGGTCTTTCTGTTGAACATCTTTCACTTAAAGCCTCAATTAAGGATTTACTGCATTGTTGATCCTCGATAAGCATAGGGCAGCTTGCTGCTTGCGCTGTAAAAAAAAGTTGTGTTTGCTGTATGTGTGGTAAATCGTCGTTGATAACTGCATAATGCTTGGTTTTGGTTGGTGCTTGGTAAGATTGTCTAAGCAGGAAATTTGCGAGATTTTCACCATTGCAAATAGGAGTTTGCTTGTACATACCCTGAGTGTCGTCTTTATTACATACTATGTGACTAACAAATTTTCGAATATTTTCCGTATCTTGTTCCTTTGCATCGTTATTAATACTGTTTCCCTTGTTAGGACTAGTATGAGTTGTACAGTTTTGACGCCATTCAGCCTCCAACTCTTGCACCAAAGGGATTTGCGATATTTTAACATTTGACTT